ACGACGAATGAATGAACGAACGAACGAACTTTTTTTTTCGTCTCAACAATAACAATTTTGAGCTTAAAAAGCTATGAAATTGTGATCCTCATGATTTCTAGTGTTTAGGATATTGTCATGGAAAATTGTAATTGTATTTAAACTTCATCCTTTTTTTTTTTTTTNCGTTACACATCTTATAGCGATATATCCGTTATATTTATGTATTTTGTTACGAGTTGGAGGGCAGGACTAAGAGTTTTTCGCGAGTTAGCGGCTTATATCTCGCGTATAACGTGGCTTAGAAACCGTTCGTCCATTAAGTGTGGCACTAAAAAGATTACGCTAAGAGAAGGTAATATAATGTGCTATATAAAAAGGTCCATTATTTTTTACGATAATTCCGGCAAACTTTCGGGGTTGCGAAACTTGTCCTAGATTAAGCTCTCCGCTGAGATTATTAAAATCTAACATCGAAATTTGATCAATTTGCTTTCAAAACAAATAATATACAGGGTTATAGGAAATTACGTCAAAAACGAGGAATTACCGGTGTCAGGACGATTGCGAACCTGGGGCATTTGCGGACCTCATCCTAATTATCGTTTTTAAATGTTCTTAATAACTGATAATTGCATTTTTTGTAGAAAATTAATAATGTAATGATAACTAAATAATATCTAATAACAACTATTAAATCTTAACTAGAATTCTACAGAGGAGGATGGAAGAACTATTAAGGGAAGATCAATTTGGGTTTAGAAGAAATAGAGGAACGCGGGAGGCCATTCTAGCTTTACGGGTAACAATACAAAAAGGAAAGTGTGTACATAGGATTTGTAGATTTAGAAAAAGCTTTTGACAATGTTAAATGGGACAAGATGTTAAATATACTTAAAAATATAGGAGGGATGAGTTACAAAGGTGGAAGAGTGATACTTAGTTTGTATAAAGAGCAACAGGCAGTTATAGAGCTAGGGCTGCAACGTAGAGAAGTAAATATTAGGAAGGCAGTCAGACAAGGATGCACACTGTCACCGCTACTTTTTAATCTATACATCGAAGACGCGATCAGCACAATTAAAGACAGTAAAACTGTAGGGATAGATATACAGGGGCAAAAGATAAGTATGCTTAGATTTGCAGATGATAAAGCAGTATTAGCATCTAGCAAGGACGAGTTAGATATAACGTTAAATAAAGTAAAAGTGGTGTTACAAAACAGTATATAACAGACCTAGGTTAGATTACTGTTCGCAAATAGTTAAGGATGTGGGTTGTTCTAGGTTTAGGAAATGCGAAGTTTATCTCAGGATAGGAATGAGTGGAGGTGCGTGTCCAACCAGTCTTAGGAGGGTAGTTAGGTATATAAAAATATGAAAACGTCGTTTAGTTTGATTGCAATTTCAATTTTAATCTGCCTGTTTTTATTCCAAATTTCGAATTCATTTAAAAAGTTAAAGCTTTTGGTGAATAAACATAATTTTCATGCAGCAATGTGGGCCTAATGGAATTCCACCCTGCGCAATCGCTATATGCTACCTTAAGGATTTGCGGTATTCAACTGTTTTCATAACATGTCCCTGTATATTAATTACTGACGTCAGATAATACTAATTGTAAATACTTATGCAAAAGGACTGCAAGCATCATCGGTATATCACTCAACTTCTAATAGGTACTAACAGACTCGCCATTTCTAATTTTTCTTGTCATTTCTCGACACAAAAAAAGCACATAAACCAAAAGAAAACAAAAGATAAATGGGTTGGTGTTGCAAGTGCATTATGTACCATATTCAGTGTTCATGACATTATTTATTGAACTGTCAATGTAAATTATTAACTATTTAGTTTTGAGGTTTTCATAAAGTTTAGATCCAAACTTCTGTATCGACATTCTGTCATCACAGACTAGCAAAATAGCAATTATACACAATTAGGTATAATAGAATCTGTATGTATGTAACGTATGAAACACGTATTGTAATATTTATGTAACCATCTACTTTTCGCATTTCCGTTAGCCTCTGGTATAGAGTATTTATGATTGTTATGTCAAGATATTCGAGAATTAGTAATCATTATTCTTGCAGTAAGTTTTATAATGTAATTGGAATGTGAACTGTTGAAGAAAATACATTCTTTTTTTAAAATTAGTATAGGTACACTGATTATGAACAATATTTTCAGCATATGCAGGTGGTTTTTATTTTAGTTTCTATTTTAATATAGGTGGTATAAAGGTTAGTGAAAGATAATAAAAATGTTTATTTTAATGTCCATTCGTAATTACAATTGGAACTGCAAAATTGATCAGTCAAATTTCAAATTAAACTGTCTCTTGCTTAATTAAAAGGGTAATTTGTTTAATTAAACTGTTTAACGAAGCAAAAACATAAAACGCCATTACATTTGCGATAGGCATTTCATGTCGAATTAGTAAAGCGTAAAATTGTACAAATCAACTATCTTACTATCAATAATTCCGTAATAGCAAGGATGAAAATAATTTAAATTTTTTGTTCTACGTATAACTCAACATAATGGTTGTATTGAAAAAAAAATATTGATAAAAGTTGTAGACAATTTAAAAACTTTTAATTTGAGCAGTGATGAAAAGTTCAATTTCGTTGAGTAGTTATTACGAAAATGACGAAAAACGGTTAAACTTCATATCATTGAGGAACGAACATAAAGCCTTGGTTTTTAAGATTCCATCGCAAAATAGTCAATGATGGTCGTGGACGATAAGTTCGTTTTAATATCTAAGTCCTGTTATCTTTAAAAACTACAAAAAATTTCAATACGTTTAAATAGAAGTTATGTCAAATATCCCTAATGTGTTTGGCAACCTTATACAATAAAAATTGTTTCTAGTTGAGTGAGCGTAAGAAATGGAGTAGAATAATCAAATAAAAATAAATAAACGGTAGAATATACCATACATGGGACCGTCTATATCGGGGCTAGATTGAGGTGGAAGGACGTCGTAAGGTTAAACAGTGGAAATTGTGGAAAATTACTTTTAGGCTTACATTCCTGTAAACAAAACACTTTGTTCTTATTGTTTTTTCTGCAGTATCCTTATGAACAAGAACAACAAGAACGAAACAAATGTTGCCCTACTCCTGTCCAAGGAATGTTCTTCCAAAAAGACTGAAAATTAGTAAATTCTAAAAAGAATTTGAAAAATATTCGTCTGATCTAATTGGTTCTGATATGACTCGATACGTAATAAATCAGATATTTAGGATAGGTTAGGTTATATATGTAAATAGATATTTTTATTCAGTACCAGGTATTGGGCCGTATTTATAAAAATAAAGCATTTATTTTTAAGTAAAAGGTAGAAGTAAAAACTTTTGCTACAATTCGTATTCAAAGTAATAGGTGCAGATTAGTCCCTATTGATTTCGACAAACTAATTGAACTTGCATTGTGCAATCAACGTGTGTGTGTTCCGTGACAGCTGTTTATATTATTTGTTTAATACATTCCTGATTTACTTGTGCAGTGTTGAAAGTTAGCATATTTAAAATGGTTCGCACAATAACCGAGAAATATTTTCATTTCCTGCACAGGTGACAGGGCTGCTCCAGGTGTTTCGGAATACGCACCAAGAAAGCGGTCCGTCAACCACACGACATTCTCCTCAAATCTAAATAACGATTTAAAATCTGATTCTCGTGGTGTACGTTTTGGTTTGCAGTATTTTCTTGTATGTAAATGCATCATATCAGCCATAACAAGTACAACACTAAGACCATGCTACTAAAGATTACTTATAAGTCCTTTTAGATAGATTTTAACACAACAACAGTCCTACAAATATATAAATTTTTACGTTACAAGCTGTGTGATATCTCGGCAGCTACTGAAACGTTGAAAAAGTTGTTGTGAACCTAGATTCCTTTTTTTAGAAGTAGATCCTTTAGTTTTTGAGCAGATTTTTTTACAAATACAAATGATGTAAAACCTTTTACTTTAAAGTAAACCCTAGAAGCAAAACCTTTTCCTTCGCTTTTTTTATGGATATACCTTGAAGGAATTGCTTCAATTTTTGGAAGCAAAAGGTATAAGGCTTCTTTTTATAAATACCACATACTGTATATCTGCAGTAGCAGTTGGTGTACTGGGAAATTATTCGCGTGGACCTTAAGGGATGCACGAGTGATGCAACACAGAATCCAGATCCACACCAAGGCTTGTTCGAAGAGCTTTACAATGTTTAAATATAATTTTAAAATACCAGCCGATGTTTATTCGCGGCGAGTTGGACGCAGCACGAAGAAGGCGACTTATCCGTTGTTTTACAAGCTCTTACTTGCACGTTTGAATTTTGTCTCTTCAAGGAGTTTTTCCAGAAAATCCATAACCAAGGTTTTAATAAATCAAATCTTTTTATTTTCGTATGTATGTCTGTCGCAACGGATAATTACGTTATTGACTTAATTAGACATTTGTAGACGTCCGTTATTTCAAGTAAGAATTCCCTAGAATTATAATAATTATGTAACCTTCTCTCTTTCATTGTAACCAATAAACATAAAATACTAATTTTATTCTGATTGAATTATCGGTTAACTTGAAATTCGTTCTTATCAAGAAATTCCCGATTACCTTGTCATTTACATAAATGCTACTTTGTTTATAGAAACGTCAATAAACATGACAGGCATAAAATCGGCGCTATTTTGTACCTTTTCGTGAGCATTTATTCCACATTTCACTCATTATTGTGCTTGGTTATTATTTGTGGCAAACTAAACGCTAAAGAAAATGTTTTTCCAAGTTTGCTCGTCGAGGCTGCAGCTCGTCACTGCCGCCCTTTTAATCGATCCATTCAAAATATGCCTTTGCGTGATAATAGCGACTTTTTAAACACACGAAGAAAATGTATCTAAGACGTCTGCTATTTTCTGATAAAACATGGATGCAATAAAATTCGCAGAAAGGATACAAATTAAACACAAATATGCCTAACTGCAAAAGAATAAATAATTTAAATATCATTGTTGCGTCTTAACCAATTGTTAAAACGCTGTATTAAAATACAGATTGTAGTTCGAATTAATTTTTATTTTTTGTGCAAGTACAAAGTTTTTTCTTTTTTTTTTGTTACAAGTCAACTGTCCTTATTGGAGTTCAATTTTAGTCTCTTTTAAAACTTAAGTTAAAATGTATCCAGTACCGTCGCCACCCCTCACCCTCGGTTACTTAGTCAGGGTCACTTCATGACGGTACGGTGCGCTTTCTAAAAAACTACAACTTATAATTTATGACATGACCGATCACCCTCGGCATGCTGTTAAAAAATAGTCCCCTAAAAATTGTTCCTGCACTTTCTAAATTTACAATCTATTTACAGTTCTTTACAATTTCGAGATTTCTCTTTCTAAGAAAAGGTCTCAACATACCGCCCGCCTTGAAAGAGTATCTTTCAACATAATAAATTATATCCAACTACAAATAATAACATCAATATACAATTTTATACACCTTAAACAGTTAAAATCATCCCTAGCATTAAAATTAATATAATACACACGTTTTATACAATAATCTTAGATACTACAAAATTATTTCACCCATATTTACACAGTTATATTTACACACAATAATGATACGTTACACATTTTTTTTTCAGTTTTATTTAATTTCATTACTATAATACTAGCTTATTCACTAATTGTCCCATAGATCAGTTTTTACTATATTATCCTTATCATATATGCTCAGTCTGTTTCTTTCTTACTTGGTAATTTGTATATTTTTGATACAGGTCTTTTAATTGTTCCTTTTGCTACGCGCACTGACACTACACGAGTCACATTATCACTTCCCACATGTGTATTAACAATACGTCCCAAAGGCCACTGCATCGGCGGTGTGTTATCCTCTCGTACCAGTACCATATCTCCAGGATTCAAATTTAGTTCTGTAGATTTAGTCCATTTTTTCCTTGGTTGTAATATCGGGAGATATTCGAGGTGCCAACGTTTCCAAAAATGTTGTAACATTTGTTGCAGATGTTGATAACGATTAAGTTTGTGCGTGGTTTCATCGCACAGGTCTGCCTGTGGTAGTGCTGTTAATAAGTCTCCAATAAGGAAATGTCCAGGGGTTAAAGTGGAGAGGTCATTAGGATCGTTAGACATAGGAAACAAAGGTCTGGAATTAAGGCATGCTTCAACTTGTGTTAACAATGTGTACAGTTCTTCGAATGTGAGCCTTGTCTCACCTATTACTCGTTTTAAATGATATTTTGCAGATTTTACTGCGCTCTCCCATAAACCGCCGAAATGCGGCGCATGAGGAGGAATAAAATGCCAGTCAATATTTATATTTGATGCATATTCCCTGACATTATTTTGAAATGTTGTGCTTTTTAGAAAGTGTCCTAGTTCAACTAATTCATTTCGTGCACCAACAAAATTTTTTCCGTTGTCTGAATATATCGTTTTACAAATACCCCTACGAGAAATAAAACGCTTCAAGCAATTTAAAAATGCGTTTGTAGTTAAGTCAGAAACTAATTCAATGTGAACAGCTTTAGTACTGAAACAAACAAAAATACAAATATAAGCCTTTATAGCAACACGTGAGCGTAGTTTTTCTTTGATTAAAAATGGGCCGGCATAATCGACCCCACAAACATAAAATGCACGCATTTGCGTTATTCGTGATAAAGGCAAATCACCCATTAAATATACTGATTGCTTAGGATTGAATCTAAAACACGTTATACATTGCCTTAGGATTTTTTTAATTTGATTTTTTGCTGCAAGTAACCAAAAACGTTTACGTAATGATACAAGTACAGTTTGGCAACCTGCATGTAACAATCTTTTATGTTCAGATTCAATTAATAAGTGCGCAAATCGGTGTTTAGCGGAAAGTATCATTTGATGCCTTTGATCATACGGAATAGAGGCATTTTTTAACCTACCTCCTACTCTTAATAATCTAGATTCGTCTAAAAATGGATTAAGTTGCAATAAGTTACTAGTCTTTGATAGTTTCTTAAATTTTTCTAGTTCTAATATTTCCTTTGAAAATGTTTGTTGCTGGGAAAGTTTGACTAAATAATTAGTTGCACATTCTAGTTCTATACTACTTAACGGTTTGTTCAATTCCTTTCTTGCTCTATTTTTATTTTGTGTTACGTTAGTGCTAATGTTTCTTACTTTGATTGCTTCCCTACAATTTTTAATAAAACGAATCAGATATGCTGTGGTTCTTATCAATTTTGAATATGAAGAAAACCTATTAAATATATTAAAGTTAGTAGTTTCCACTTCGTTGTTCTCTTCTTCGTCCTTTTCTTCATTTACCCTTTGTATTAATAAATTTAACTGCTTGTCCTTGGCTTCCGGTGCGTTCATAAATTTAATGTATTCTAATTTTAAGTCCAGATTTTTACTAAATTTGCGATCTATCGTTGTTACTCTTTTATAAGCTAAATTTCTTGAGTTACCTAATTTTGATATGCTATCTTTGAAAGGAATACTTACTACGAAACGTTCACTTTCATCACGTTTGACTGTTTTTAAAAATTGCTTTATTATTAAGTCCGGTTTATTAAGTCCTTGCAATTCTCCGTAACAATGTTCAATTTCCCAAAACCTTTCAAGGGATTTGTGTAATTCATTATTTTTAATTATGTTACATACAACTCCCTTTTCTGGAGCTACATTTATAGATCCAGCGACTATCCATCCAAGTACCGTTTTTTGGAATATCGGCTGATTTTCACTTAATTTAATTTGACCTACAGACATTAATTGATAAAACAAACTTGCCCCAATAAGTATGTCTACCGGTCTTGAATAGTTGAATTGAGGATCGGCAAGTTCTATACCAGCTGGAATTTGGACTTTGTTTAACCTAACATGTCGCGAAGGTAAATTGTCGCTAATTTTATCAATTACGATGTAGGTTATTGAGGTCGAAAAGTTATTAATCCGCGATTTTAATTTTGTCGTTGCCTTACATGCAACATGCCGAGTGCCCTGATCTATTCCTGACAAAGTAATGTTGGTTTTTAGTTGTTCCAACCCTAATTTTTTACATAATGCTGCTGTCATAATATTTGGCTGAGAACATGAGTCTAACAATGCTCGACATTCATGCTCTCTTCCCTGCTTATCATACAACAATACATTCGCGGTTGCTAGGAGTACATAAGATGCTGAATTTGTTGTTGTTAATGCACTACATGTTAACTGAGGGCTAGCAGAACCCGTTGGTGCTTGTACCTCAGTTGATGTTTTTTCAACGTGAAGCAAATTATTGTGCTTTCTTCCGCATTTTTTGCATGGACCAAAACTACAATTTTTATTTTGGTGGCCACTAGCTAAACAGCAAAAACATAATCCTAGTTCCTTAACTTTAGTTATTCTTTCAGGTGGTGAAAGCCTTTTGAAACTTTCGCAGGCGTACAATGGGTGTGCACCCTTACATAATGCACATGTTTTGTTGTTTATTGTTGTTACCGCATACGATTTTATATTATTATTTCGTAAGGGAACGTTCTTATTTAAAAACCTACTATTTGTTTTCTCATTATGAGAATAATTATCAACAACTGTTTTTTCTAGAAATTTGCAATGATTCTCTAAAAACCTAACCATTTCCTTAAATGTCGGCATTTCAGCTTTACCCGCTAAAATTCTTTCCCATTCCTTATTAATTGAAAAATGTAATTTTGATGAAGTTAAATAGATTACCATACGGTCCCAATATTGTATTTTCTCTCCGAGTACCTCGAGTGCAAGTAGATGATTCGTCGTATCATCAATTAATTTTCTTAATTCAAAAGACGAATTACGCGTCATTTTTGGAATTTCATACAAGTTACTTATATGATGATTTAGTAATGCATTTGAGTCTTCGTACCGCGATTTTAATTTGTTCCATGCAATTGTGTAATTTACGTCCGATACGCCTAATGCTTCAATAGTTCGTGCAGCTTCTCCCGTTACATAACCTTTTAAATAATTAAATTTGTCAACATTGTCCAGATTTACATTTTCATGTATCATAGATACGAAGGAGTCGCGAAATTTCAACCAATTGCCTAACTGACCATCAAAAACTGGTAACCTAATGTCCGGTAATTTTATGCCCTTACGTGCAATGTGAGTTTCGTTAGTTGGTTGTGATGTACAATTCAATGTTTGTGCACTTNTTTGGTGGCCACTAGCTAAACAGCAAAAACATAATCCTAGTTCCTTAACTTTAGTTATTCTTTCAGGTGGTGAAAGCCTTTTGAAACTTTCGCAGACGTACAATAGGTGTGAACCCTTACATAATGCACATGTTTTGTTGTTTATTGTTGTTACCGCATACGATTTTATATTATTGTTTCTTAGGGGAACGTTCTTATTTAAATACCTATTATTTGTTTTCTCATTATGAGAATAATTATCAACAACTGTTTTTTCTAGAAATTTGCAATGATTCTCTAAAAACCTAACCATTTCCTTAAATGTCGGCATTTCAGATTTACCCGCTAAAATTCTTTCCCATTCAAAAATGTAATTTTGATGAAGTTAAATAGATTACCATACGGTCCCAATATTGTATTTTCTCTCCGAGTACCTCGAGTGCAAGTAGATGATTCGTCGTATCATCAATTAATTTTCTTAATTCAAAAGACGAATTACGCGTCATTTTTGGAATTTCATACAAGTTACTTATATGATGATTTAGTAATGCATTTGAGTCTTCGTACCGCGATTTTAATTTGTTCCATGCAATTGTGTAATTTACGTCCGATACGCCTAATGCTTCAATAGTTCGTGCAGCTTCTCCCGTTACATAACCTTTTAAATAATTAAATTTGTCAACATTATCTAGATTTACATTTTCATGTATCATAGATACGAAGGAGTCGCGAAATTTCAACCAATTACCTAACTGACCATCAAAAACTGGTAACCTAATGTCCGGTAATTTTATGTGAGTTTCGTTAGTTGGTTGTGATGTACAATTCAACGTTTGTGCACTTATTAATTGTGTCTCATCTAATAAATTTTGTGCCTTTGAAACAGCGTGAAAATAATTATTTTCGAAACTTTCCCTATCTGCAGCTTGTAATTCGGTTTGTTGCTCATCATCATTAAATAATATTTCTATTTCTGTTTGAATAGCGTTGTACTGGTCGTATAGCTGTTCACATTTCTCTAGACTTTTTTTAATTTCATGAGGATTTAAATCCTCGGAGTCTAAAAAATTTAAAAAACGAGTCAAACTCCCCTTAATACCTGTCCTTTTAAACTTTAATTGGTCCATTGTTATTCAATTTATCTGTACTAGTTAACACACGTTGAATGGTTTTAAGAGGATGGAAAAAATGATAATTGGAGACTTACGTTTATTCTGTTGATTTTTTTTCTATTTGATGTACGTTGTGCCGCTCGCCGTAGTACAATGAGTGTAGGCTGCAAACACACAGTTTTCCGCCGATTATTCTTAATGATAGTCCAGTAACTAACTGACAATATGTCCCATAAATCCAATAAAGAATTGTACACGTATTACACTTTTATTAATTAGTCACACAATTCCAAAATACTTAACTTTAACACTATTTATTAAATTGTCACCTTTGTATACTTTTTTGTTCACTCTTTCGTTTGTTCGCTTACTATTAGTCCAAGTACATTTAAGTCCGTTGATTTAATTTATTTGCAATCCGCTCACCGTTACAGTACCATTTAATTTTATTATTGTAAAGTCCAGTTGCACTTATCACGTCCAGAGATAACTACAGATTTTCGTAATTTTTTTCACTTATTCACTGAATCCGGCTCGAAGGACCAAAAAAATGTTGCGTCTTAACCAATTGTTAAAACGCTGTATTAAAATACATATTGTAGTTCGACTTAATTTTTATTTTTTGTGCAAGTACAAAGTTTTTTCCTTTTTTTTGTTACAAGTCAACTGTCCTTATTGGAGTTCAATTTTAGTCTCGTCGAAAAACTTAAGTTAAAATTGTATCCAGTACCGTCGCCACCCCTCACCCTCGGTTACTTAGTCAGGGTCACTTCGTGACGGTACGGTACGATTTCTAAAAAACTACAACTTATAATTTATGACATGACCGACCACCCTCGGCATGCTGTTAAAAAATAGTTCCCTAAAAATTGTTCCTGCACTTTCTAAATTTACAATCTATTTACAGTTCCTTACAATTTCGAGATTTCTCTTTCTAAGAAAAGGTCTCAACACTGTAAAATATTTTCAAATTATACCACTTAATAATGACACTTCTGATTTTGAAAATACATTAGAATTTATCAAGAAAAAATAAGATAGTACTTACTCTAACTTTATGTGTTTTTATTGTGTTTATTGACTCGTTCACTATATTGAATATGAAAATTAGAGCCGGGCCAGGCATTACAATTTGACAATGAGGGCCACGTCTCGTTGGTCCGGTTGTGCCCTATACAATAAATGTACTTGTTCTCCTTCTTCCCTTCTAAGCCAATAATTAGAAAAATGGAGCAATTATAGGGGTCGTAGAATAAGTTTATTATAAAAAAAAATTACTAATGTTTCGCCCCTTCTGGAGGGCTACAACAATTTTCGAGTTATCTCACCATTGTTTCATATTTATATAAATTACTTCCTAATGTTTTCTTAGTTAGGTTTGTTGTTGTTTTCATAATAAACTGATTCGACAACCCCTATTATTGCTCCTTTTTGTCTAATAAATGTACACTATAGCCGCACAAGGCACACTTGATGAAGGATTGGCGCTTAGAGTACGCAACAATTGAAACTAGAATAAAATTAGTTACTTGTTTCGAAGTACAATAACTACAGAACAAATTACAATGGCACACACTCATCACAACTTATTAGAATGTAATGAATGTTAAAAAATTAATGTGTATTATTTATATTATAGATACTAGAACACACACAATCTTGCTTTAACTTCTTTGTTCTATTTCCTGTTTATTACTTCCCACGTTTCTTTTTAAGCATTTAATTTGCTTTCATGCTTCCTGTTTTATCTTAGTTGTGGTTTTGGTTTCGGGTTTTTCTTTTTCTTATCTGTTAATGTCACTAATTTTTATAAACACATATACAAGAGTTATGGTTTCGGTAATACAAAAATAATTTCTAAAAAATTGAACAATTTTTATTAAAGCGACTCACTACAGCATCAATACTCGTACGGAAGTGTTACATTATTAGTTAAAACTACATATCTATTTTTGCTGATTATGAATAAACCGCACTACATCCCCATGTGACGTAATGCATACAGGTTATGGTGTCATAACCCCTATCCACTTAAGAAAAAGCGTCCTCATTCTTTGGAATTGGAGGGAGAAATTTGACAATTGGTGTTTCTGTGTTCCTTTGTTAAAATTTTCTTATTCTTTAACATACGCACTTTATATCTTAACAAAAAGAACTAAAACATACAAGAACCACTACAGCTATTATTACAGTAATGAGGGTGGGTTTAGGTTCGGCATAACCTTCAATTGATTACCAAAATTATTGTTTGAAGCTGAATAGAACTTTGAGGAAAACTAAATGTTTGTGATTTCTAAAAAATCGGTAAAAAATAATTATGTTCTGGAGTAAGAAGCCTTAATGGTGTTCTATTGAAAGGTTTTTTACGATGATTAAAACCATATCTTTGGCAAGTCTTTCCCTCTTACCATTTCCTCACATCTTTCTTTTAACCATTTTCCCTACTTTTAACTCTTATTTAATAAACATATTTAATAAAATCATTCGATGTGGTCTACATTCTGTCGAAATTGCCAGACGCGGATCGCGATTTCGATCTTTCTGGATCTCATTAGCGCGTCGCAGGCAGCTCCGACAGAACACAGACCATCTTTTACCTGCTGTCTTAACAGTGCGTTTTAGAAAATACTACAAATGGCGCAGTAAGCGCCATCTGTAGCCCGATGCTACATTTTAGAACCACACAAGTGGACCTTGTTGGAGCATACGTAATCCTAAAATGTAGCATCGGGCTACAGATGGCACTTACTGCGCCATTTGTAGTATTTTCTAAAACATATTTAACTTCACTTCTTACTATTCCATCAGGAATTTTATATATTTTTTTTTTCTGGCGATACCCTCTATCTGCTTTTATTCTCTTCAGCCCCGTATTTCCGCCCCATAAAAGACAATAGTATTAATTAGTGTATTAAATAAATTCATTTATCTATTCTAATTATTTTACCTTTTTTTTTTCTTTTTCCCATACGGTTCCTATAACAATATTCGCTTCACAAATTGATTATGTGCATGAATAGTTAGATAGCTGAACTTTTCATCTTCTCATTTACTTTTTCTTTTCATCATCTTAACTCTTTTTGCTTTCTACATTTTTTCTCTTCCCTCCTCATATACTCTATTGTTTAGATTTTTTCAATATAGTCACGTAGAGGCAATCCGCCATAAGGCATGAGATATCTATAGCGGATTGCCTAAATCTCGCTAGTAACCATAGACATGGACAGACTCTGAGTAATATCCATAGACATATATCAATGGACGTGCCTTAGCCGTATGTCGTTGTAATAATTTCTTGGCTCGAAAAGTGAGGGAGATGGCGTATAGTTTCGGACTAGTGCTATCTCTTTCATGACACGCTTACGCACTATCGTGGGAGAGATGGACATTGTCCGAAACTTCGTTCCATCTCTTTCTTTTGTTGTACTACAATTCTGACCGCTAAGGCATGTCCATTAAAAAACGTCGATGGTAATACCCTCATGTAATTGATCTCTCTTTAGAAAGAGAAAAAACGGCCTTGCGATCAGTACTTATCACTTTTCGTCTTTCTTTTTCTTATTCATCCACTCATACAAGACTATGACGCAGACCAACCAAAATTCTAAGAAAAGACAATTACTGGCAGCACGATCGCTTTGTTTCTCTTATACATTTCTGCCTATATTCATTTTATAGCTAGATAGAAAATGTGCAGTCCATTCTCTATATGTATGCTAAATGCTAGTAAAAAGAAGATCATTCGTCGGTATATTGTCATCATAATGACGCAACGTGACGTGTCCCACCGGTTACTCAAAGGTCAAATTATGACCAATCTGTAATCACTGTTAAATAACTATAACCTGTATTCAAGCGGTAATTAATATGTCAAGCGGACGGACGGACAAACGGAAATGACGATCAAAGAGAACCACCAGTAACTGCATGCATTCAATTCACCATGCCAATACATCTTTACCAGAGACAAGAGCAAGGAAAGGGGCCTTTTACAATAATGTCGCTGTGCGCGTTCCGATCGAATAACAGAAACGTCGTAATAATTCGACAATACGTATCCGCTACGCCCCATTTACCGCACGAGATATTTTCGAAGGGTCCCAAAAAATTCAATAAGTATACCATGGTAGTTTACCACCCCTGTGCATTAAGGCAAAAGCAATAACTCAACGTGATTCATACGTGGACATTACATTGTTTGCGGTTGGTTACCTCGTCGTCTCCAAAAACTATCGCCATGCGGCGAGAGCTGCTTACCGACAAATCACTCCATACTTCGTATTATTATTGGAATTACAATGAGTTATCAATTTAATTAAACTCTCTATCCATGGAATGATCTATTTTACTAAGGGAATTATAAATTGTACAGAAACTTATTGCAGTTTTGTCACTTTCATTTTAAATGTTAAACTTTTGTTAAATTTCACAGGCAGATATTCGGGAACTTACTATTGTAAGTGGAATATCAGCACACGCGTTAAATCAATAAGGCGTGTTGTTTAATTCTTTGGTGGAAGGTGGAAAAAAATAGAACTCTTGCAGCGAAGTCAACTTAATTATATATTTACAATATGTACAGAGTATCTCCAACTAATGATTCATTATGATTACAAAAGTGCAAGTGCTCTGGTGCTACGTTCAAGTCTTGTCTTCTTATATCTACAACTTAAACTAGGAGGAAAACACCAAGGGTGTGACTAGTTTCACCATTGGTGATTAATCCTTTCAAAACAATTCAGTGCAAATTTAGAAGGCGGGCTTTCAACTTAAAATTTTGGAAAGAGGGAAGTTTACAATCTGAGAAAAGATCGGCACATCAAGAAATCAACAAACGGTACTTTTAACCGTTAGGCTCATAAAAAAACACCCCATAATAAACTTGAAACTAAATTGGAATCGTAAAGGATCCTTCTTCAACAGTTACCTCTATAAACTAATTTAAACATTGTACCGATGCATCTAAGGGTCTACTACCAAATAAACACCATACCGCCTTGTAAATTTCCAAACATTCAAAAAAATGAATGCAGGAAGAATTTTATGACCTGCATCAAAAAGGTTGGTCTTGACTCCGAACAACTTTTAAATACATTTTGGTTAGATGACTATGAAGCCATGTATCAAGAGTTATTCTTGTTCATAAGACCATCAGCTACAATTTTGTCTACTAGTTTAGGAATTACACTAGTACATTTATATTGACCTGTAATTAGTAACTAGATGTTTACAACTCGATTTGAAAATAGGTGTATAGTTGTACTGTCTCTAATGATGTTGATCTCGTCTTCAATGTATATATTAAAAAGTAGCGGTGCATCCCTGCCTGACTCCCTTTCTAATATTTACTTCTCTACGTTGTAGCCCCAGATCTCTATCTGCTTGTTGCTCTTTATACAAACTAAGTATCACCCTTCTATCTCTGCAACTTATCCCTACATTTTAAAGTATATTTAACATCTTGTTCTATTTAGTATTGGCAAAAGCTTTTTCTAAATTTACAAATCCTATGTACGCACTCTTTCCTTTTTCTATCGTTTTCTGTTTTGTTACCAGTAAAGCCAGAATGACCTACCCTGTTCTTCTATTTCATCTAAACCCAAATTGATCTTCCCCTAATAGTTCTTCCGCCCTTTTTCCATCCCTGTACAATTTTCGTTAAGATTTTTGACGCATGAGAAGTTAAGCTAATTGTTATAAATGTCTCGCACCTATCCGCGTGTCTCTTGATAGGTGTGGTTACTATACTTCGTTTAGTTTCTGTAGCGATGTGACCTTCAGTTTGACCGGCGCAAAGTAGAAAAGAACAGCACTAGACCAGAAAAGGAAGGAGACAACTCTCTTAACCGGTGAGGAGCGTATAATCCGTACAGTACTGCACGGAAAAATTGACCATTTTATCCAATGCCGGTTTTAACACTAGCAGCACCTTGGGCGAGATTTCTACGGCGCCCCCTATCTGTCATTGAAACCCATACGAAAAAAAGGCATTAGACACACTTGCAGCAAATAGGAGGTAGTGATTAATATTTAAGTTGCGATCTTTGATAAAACATAAAATAAAGACAGGAGTAAACACACTCTGATCAGGCAAAAAAGATTTTAGACTTAATATATAAGTTCATTGTAGAATATACAACTATCTACCTATATCTGATTTAGAGCCTACAGAGTTTGAGGTCTGGTTTTTCCGGAATCTTTTTATGTTGTACTAAAAAGGCCAAAATTCCGAGTATCCATTTAACTGTTCAAATCTTTCATTGAGTGAGTTTATGATAGCGTCAAAAAGACAGTTGAAAAATAAAACTTCCAATTTCTTTTTTGGAGAAGTTATAGACCCATCACAAGCAGTTTCATCAGCTTGGCGTTTAATAACTCGTCCAATTCTTGTTGTTGCTCAAAACTTTTTTGGCTGTTTCATTCCCACCAGCCAGTAATAGTGGTGGGCGGGCAGTCCCTCCGGAATAAGCCGGAAGGTAGGGCGGAAGGCCCTCTTCAGCCTTATCAGGAATCGTGGGATGATGGTTTGGGTGAGAAAGATAAGACAAACGAAATGAAGACAGAAGAGAATGAAAAGTTATCTGTGGAATATTACTGCCCCAGTACTTACTTAAGTGGTCCAAGGAAACCACAGAAAAATTTGGACTAAGACAGACGGACCCAGAATTGAACCGGCGTTCTCCCGAATT